ACCATATATTTAGCAGAGTCACTGGACCAATGTTTCCCAGAATCAACCAGAAGACTTGCTCCAGAATATCCCGTGACGCTAAAGCATCTCACTGCAGCTGTCAATCAGATTGATACTGTGATCAGAAAGCTGATGAACAGAAAACAGCATCATTACTGCAGTGATGAAAGAGAAAAGCTCTGACCTGAGATCAGGTAGAAAGTGAGGAAGATGAGGAGGATCTTCATTGTGAGTTGAGTTCAGTCTTCTTTATGCTGAATGATCTCTGTGTGAATCTCTCTGTCTCTACATCTGTCTGCTTTAGTTACTTCCTCTTTATTCAGCTCTTTATCAGTAATGAGCAGCTTTACTGGCTCCTCCCACCATCACCACTGACTGAACATCACATTAATCACACTGAAAGAGCGCCACCTAGTGTGTAGAATATTGATTAAATGTTCTTGGTTATATGTCAGTCGCATTTGTACCTGACTTCCATCTATAGTCAAGAGGTCAAGCCCCGGATGTATATGGAAGTAGGTTGTCTGCAATTACATGTGATAACTATAAAGTTCTCCAGGAAAGAGTCATTCAAAACCCTGTTGTGTGTCCATCATTCATCAGTATGTAATTAAACAGGATAGCTATTCCTCGAATCATAAACAAACAGGGGAAAACAAATCATTTATTAAAGTAAATAAGTTCATTAATCAAAACAATATAACACGTTTCTAACTCTTTGATTATATATTTACTAATGATCCATTAAGCTTTATATAATATTTGTTAATGATTTATTAATGAAAGTTATTATAAAGTGTTACCACCTTATTTATTACATTAATCACGCTGAAAGATCGCCATCTAGTGGAGGTTACGGTGTCTGATACTGAGAGCTCATACAGGTTTTCATGTTCTCTTGAAATTATTTGTTTGAACATTATCTAATGTTTAATACGTTTATTAGCAAACATTAACAAGCACATTATCTCACGTTTCTAACTCTTTGATTATATATTTACTAATGATCCATTAAGCTTTATATAATATTTGTTAATGATTTATTAATGAAAGTTATTATAAAGTGTTACCACCTTATTTATTACATTAATCACGCTGAAAGATCGCCATCTAGTGGAGGTTACGGTGTCTGATACTGAGAGCTCATACACGTTTTCATGTTCTCTATATCCACCTTGTTTTTCCCGTAAGAGCGGGTGCTAACATTTGTAAATTTAATGTGTCTGGCTTCCGGTCTCATTCGCTTCCAGCTATTTTTAGCTGTACAAAACAACTCGTTTTGATGCGTGATATTGTAAACTGGCGTCTTACCATATTATTTTAATGTATCATCTTAATTATGAGCACACTGGTTTGCAGTGCAAACAGCTTTACAGTTTTCTGCACTTTGTTATTCTTCTCGTTATTTCCCTACAGCCACTAATGAACCGGAAGTCTCGCACATTCACAGAAAACGTCTCAGGTTACTTATGTAACCATGGTTCCCTGAGTAGGGAACGAGACACTGCGTCCTCTAGGGGTCGCTATGGGGAACGCCTCGTCGTGACCCGTGTCTGAAGCATACATTGAAAAAACACCAACTCGTTGGCCGGCGACAGCCATGACGTCACTACCGGTGCGACTATAGTATAAATAAGCGCCGGGAGCACACATCATTCACTTCTTCATCTGAAGCTTGCGTTCGAAGCATGGCAGGAAGCCTAGAGGACGCAGTGTCTCGTTCCCTACTCAGGGAACCATGGTTACATAAGTAACCTAAGACGTTTTCACCAACTTCATATTTCAATTTGACTAAGCTTAAATTTCAAGGCAGCATTAAGTTGTAAAAGGTTTTTTTTTTAACAGTGAGTCTAATCCATTTAAGCTTGATTTTTGCCCAGAGCCGGCCCAAGGCATAAGTGAACTAAGGGGCTGCTTAGGGCCCCGTGGCCACCAGGGGGCCCCCAAGAGTACATGAAATGGCTTGATTTTTTTCGGAGTGTCTATTTACACTAAGTGCAAATAGCCCGCCTTGTTGGCAGAGTCTATTTACACGAACTCCGCCCACCAACGTGTGATTCGGCTAGTGAACATTACACAAAAGACAGCCAACAGTCATCAGCTCCAGTGGCGCAGATGGTAAAACGTGTGACTTGCTCATTTTGACACGATCGACCCGGGTTCGAATCCACATTTTGGCAAACTTTTTTCTCCCTTTTCAAATTTCAAATCACATCAGAAAAATGTAACATTGAAATTTATTTTCAATGAAGATGAAGGAAATAATCAAAAAGTTGAAAATAAAGTATCGGGTAGGGTTAGGGTAGGTGTAGGGAGGGATGCCACCTTATTGTCCCAATAAGGTGGCATCCATTTAATAATTTGAATTAAATTTAAAGTTTACACTCAATAAGTTATTATTGCATACTCACGGATGCACACACCTTCTAAATGCTCTGCTAGTGCTCGCCATAATAAATAGAGATAGCTCTTACTTTTTCCTTGGAAATGCACGCTTCAAACAGAACAGTCAATGAAGACGAAGAAGAGAATGATGTGTGCTCCCGGCGCCTATTTATACTATAGTCGCACGTCGTGGCTGTCGCCGGCCAACGAGTTGGTGTTTTTTCAATGTATGCTTCAGACACGGGTCACGACGAGGCGTTCCCCCATAGCGACCCCTAGAGGACGCAGTTCGAAGTTCCCATGAAAGGGAACGGCTTACTTCCACATTGAAAAATAAGGTGGAAAAGGACAGATGACACTGAAGCAATTCAGATCAGTATCAGCGTTTTTTTAATCTCCCACTAGAGGGCAACTGTGATTATAAATTCACTGAGGTCCCCTGGAGTCTGTACAACACGGCACTCTTGGAAATGAAAAAAAAGTATATATAATAAATAAAATAAAAAACATCTGATTTGGATTTTTTACATTTGTATTAGTTGTAAGAAATATTAACAGCTTTTTATGAGGAAACAGACCATTAGGCTTTTGATGTGTTTGGATAATTTATACATAAAAACCAATAATAATATGATAGTTTTGTGGACTCAGCACCATGGACAGCAGCTTCAGACAAACTTCAGCATCATTGATGACAGTTGAACATGAGTTTATCTGCTTCCTTCACTTTGACTTTGAGCATAAGAACATCTGCATTAAAATAATGGCTCTATGTAATTATCAAATATTAGGCCAAAGTTTCATTCCTCCAGAATCATTCTTAGTTTTTGATCAAACAGGAGGCGAGTAAAATAGTGGCATTTATAATTAATCAAACCAGAACACAAGAAAATAAATGTATGTTCTCTATCAACCACCACACAATAGTGCATAAAACTAATTTTAATGAAACCACGAAATGTAATGTTTAGTAGAAATGTAACAATACCTAAATTTTGCCACTAGATGGAGCCAGAGGTTTCAATAAGACAGCTGGTTTTGCGTTTACTGTAGGCGCTTCAAAACTATAATAACAAATGCAATGGGGAACTGGAAACAAACACTATCATTCAATAATAGTATATATAACAGATTCAATAGAGGTCGTCTGGACAGCCTACAAGAACAAAAATAAAAATATGAATAAATGATACTGTATTTTGTGTTTACAGTCTGACCAAGTTCTCAGGCATTATTATTTCACAGACTATAACAAATGCAGTGTCTTTATTGTATATCCTTAAAATGCACTATCCCTAAATAAATTTGACAAAATAAAAGTGTTCATCCAGTGTCATATATATTCTGAATATGAATCTAGTCTGATATACTGTATTGTTTGAAATTAATAATTTTGATACCTCAGCACGTTACAGTATGGTGTTTAATATAACAATGTATATACTGTATAATTAGAAACTTCCATAATTTATTTTAGTCATGTTGCTTGAGTTTGTTAAGATAATGTGAGATTCACAAGCCTCAGCGCGACCGTTAGTTAAACCACTGCTCCAAAAAATACCATATAAATCGTCCATACGTTTCGTGGTGTGTCATTGCAAGTCTTCTGAAGCCATAAAATAGGTCCATGTGAGAAACAGATCCAGATTTAACTCATTATTCAATGAAAATCTTGTTCTAGCTGATCTGTACGGTGACGGAGAAGTGCAAAACAAATCACAATTCTGAAAACAAAATAACAAATTACAAACGCAAATGCAAGTCTAAAAAACAAAATAACAATTCACAAAACACAACAACAATTCAGAAAACATTATAACAAGTCAGAAAACACAATGACAAATTCGAAAACAAAATAACAAGTCAGAAAACACAAAGACAAATCCGAAAACAAATTAACAAGTAAAAAAACACAACGACAAATCAGACAAACCGGAAAAGGTAGGTATAGTTTGAGACAGCGCCATTGGTTTGGGATTACTCACCGTTGACTGGACGAGACATTTGTCAATCAAAGTATACAGGAAGAACCAGCCGAAGAACAACAGAGTCGTGGTAGAAAGTTCGGAGATGGTATTAAAGTAGCTCAGTTTAAATGTATTGTATGAATTGCCCTTACTATGGAATAAAAAATACGGAGTGTATATTCACATTTAGTTAAAAGTAGCTGAAAACATCAGCTCTAGTGGCGCAGATGGATAAGTGTGTGTCGTTGGCTTTTTGACG